ATTATGCTGGAACTTTACATGTTTGAGCTGAAGTATTTGTCCAGATTTTATCTCCGCATAAAATAGTGAATATTTTTTTAATAACTTTGCAAATACTGGCTATTTTTTCGATTACCGATATGAAAAAAGGAATTTTCAGAAACCACGATAGTATAGTTAGGGATGGAAATGGGGCGGNTCCGCCCCACTTGAACCCGCCCTGCCCCGCCCCGCTTAATTTTTTTTCTTTTTTCTTTAATTTTTGGTCAGTAGGCCTTTAATAGATACTTAAAAAATATTATGTACTCGAATTTATTGTTTAAATCAAATCAAATAATTTAATATTTTAAAATATAATGTGAAAAAATATATGGTAAAAGTATATCTAAAGAAAACTTATGTTACATTCAGTGATTTGATATACATATAAAAAAAAATTACCAAAAAAATATCATACAGGAAAGCTGAGCCGTAAAAGTTGATTTTCTGTACACATAGGATATGGTCACATATACAGTAATTTATAGTAGATGAAGAATGTGAAATTATAGTTGAAATAATTGTTTTGTTTTAAAAAAGATGAAATTCAAAGTTGTCCTGCATTGAATCGCATTAAACCCGCAATCCGTCCCGCCCCGCTTTAAAAATTTAAAAAATATTTTAACCCGCCTCGCCCCGCACAAGAGTAAACCCGCCCCGTCCCGCATCCGTCTGGCCCCATTGACATCCCTAAGTGTAGTGGCTATTAAGTTCCTATAACTACCATATACATATCTACTTTCTATAGCTAATATTTCGTTGCTACCTGACTGTATTCGTTGTATTCGCGCTACTGTATTCATGAATACAGTCACGTAATTCTTCTAATAAGTAGGGAGTCCAACTGTTTAATAACGGAAAGAAGATCATTTGGCGTGTATCACTCCTAATTAACTCAACAAAATCAATTATATGAAAATTTTGCTGTTATGGTATTGTACTCGCGGTTGTATTTATAAATACAGCGATGTAATCCACCTAAAAAATAAGGATTACAGTTGTTTAAGTATGAATTTCATGTATTTGCGCGACTGTATTTATAAATACAGTGAGGTAATCCGGCTAAAAAATATGGATTACAGCTATTTAATAATATATTCCATGTATTAGCGCGAATGTATTTATAAATACAGTGAGGTAACTCGCCTAAAAAATATGATTACGGGTGTTTAATAACGGAAATCACAATATTGAATTGTACTCAATTTCACTATATTGAATTCATTTGTATTCAAACAACAAAAAATCAAGAAATAGGATGTATATCGTTCTGTTCAATTCGAGTGTATACATGTATTCAATTCACTGATAGTCATTATTAACTATTATACACTGTATTCAAACAACAAAAAATCACAAAAACTAGTGATATTCGGTTGTATTAAAAAAATACAGACTTTCAGAATACATAAATACAATTGAAAGTATAATGTATTTATACAAAAATATAATGTGTTTCAGTGTATTTGTACAAAATACAATTGTATCATTGTATGTGATTCATTAGCAAAGAAGAGAAGAAAGTTCGCCGGAGATGACGTTTTCGGCCAAGAAAAATACTGTATACATTTTATTAAAACTAAAAATGGAAACGAACAAAAACCCAGCTCTCAAATCTTTTCCGGCGAACTTGCTTCAGATTTCCAAAAGCTCAATCCATAGCCATGGCCAGATCTGTTCGCCTACTCCCTCTTCACTTCAGATCTATTCTCTTCATTTCAGAAAATCCACCATCGCAACCACAAATGGCTGCTACGACGGTATCCTTGATGGAAAAGGGAGAGAGATTTGAAGGAGAAAGAGAGGATTGAGAATCCTGTCGAGGGAGAAGGAAGAGAGAGAAAGAATATTTCATGCCTCAATGGTAGGGTATAAAATAAACACTTATTTTGTTATAAAATGGAAAAAGTAGCTATAAGTAATAATATTTTAAAATTATAATAAATAAGGTGTAATTGACTGGCTAGCCCATGTTATTTATATGCGTTAATCGGGTCGACTTATTAGAGCCAGCAACTAATCGAGTCGGGTATCGATTCGGAAATGCTGTATCAGTGCAATCCCGACGCGCGAATGTCAAGCACGGAGACCCAAAAAGGGAGGGAACGCCAAAAGCTAGCCGGCGGCAAATTTTACCCATAATAAATGCATTAAAACACAGAAACTCTGCATCTAACGATATATTCCTCTAATTCCCTTCCTTGTACACGCTAATTAATACACAGTTCTAATTTCGGAGCTATGGTTAAACTCTGATGGATAGAATATCTATGGACCTAAGGTGCGCTTAAGATGGACTGGATACTCAGTGCCGTTTTAAAAAGCATATTCTGTGTATTATTGTGATATTGATTGATGTTTCTATTGAGTTTTTCTTATGACTAATGTATAGTTAGCTGTCAAACTGAAGTTGTAACACACACGATATAAACATCAAATCGTTTCAAGAGGAATACGTGATTCTGCCGTATGTGGAGCTTCATCTGTGTGAGGAGTTGATAATTCTGGTGGACGTACACTTGCACATCATATCTCACTATCTGATGCACCTAAGATTTTATATAAGCGGGTTCAAATTGATACGGCGATAGCCAATAAAATCAACATCAAGCATAAGCTGGTGTGTTTTCTTGTTTTTATTCTCTATCTAAAAAAAAGTCATTTTTAATTCCGCGCTCTTATTTTTTAACGAGTAGTGCATTTTTTAATAAAAGAATTAAAACAACTATTTAAATTTATCTTTAAGATAATTTATCTATTAATTTGACAAATTTTGCTTTAAAATTTCTAAGATTAGTTAGCAAATTGAAAGTATTTTAAACTCTGCAACACATAACAAAATCTGAATTCTTGTCCTTGATATATGAGAAAAACAAATTTTGTTGATTACAAGAAACAAAATAATCGAACGAAGGAGTTGTGAAATAAACTAGACTAATATAAATAAGTGGATAAAGAGAGCTTATAAGCCAAACAATAATAATAATAATAATAATAATATAAAAAAAAAAGACAACATGGTACAAATAAACAATTTCATTATAGACCATATTAGATTAAACTACAAAGTAATAAATCATTTCAATAAGGCAAAATACATAAGTACCCACCTAACCTATGGCCCAAATCCCCCTTACACACTTTCTGTGGANTGCTAAAATCTTTAAATTCCATTTTATTCTTCATAAAAATTAAGGATGGAAAGAACCACCATAGAGGGCAGAGGAGGACTGGCGCTGGCGGCCAAGGCGGTGGCTGAACTAAAAAAGAGTTGCAGAGAGCAGTGAAGGCTCTAATTGAAGACAACATCGACCATAGATTCACCTTCTCATCAACCAATCTCTATTAATTTGGAGAAACCCAAAAGATCTCTCTTCCAAAAGACACTATCTCTCTCTACCTTTAAAATTCCATAGGCCATCAAGCTTCATTATTGGACTCTTCACAAGAAAACAAACAAAGGCCGATCTGGGGATATGGGGGATTGTGGAAGACAAATATGGGAGAACTTTTTGTTTCGTTGAAGAATGAACAAAACAAACTAAAAGAAAAAGGAATAAAAGAAAGAAAAGAAAAAGAAAAATCAATTTGAACCGTTAGATAAATTTCGTTAGATCTGAATCGTTCAAATAAAATATCAGATCTATATTTTTGTTTCTTCACACGCCTTATTTTGTTGGTAAAACACGCGCTGGCCACGTAGGTAAAATAGTGTGTATTAGGCACATTTTGGAAAGATTGAGTGTGTAAGGTAATTTTTGTCTGCAAAAAGTGTGTAACAGGGATTTCGTCCATAATTCAGGGGGTAACTTATGTATTTTGCCTTTCAATAAATATTCTTGTATGTTACTGAAAATCATGAGAGAAAAATAGATCAACTTTGAACTAAGTTTGAAGTAACCATTCAAGCATAAAGCCAAAAAATGTCCAAAAGCAAGGAAGGTGTCGAGCCGAGAGATCGAACACCGGACCTTCCGGTAGATTTGAATCCACTTGGACCATCACGCCACAACGACCATACTGTCAAAGGGGGTTCAATTTTATTAATATATACGTTTTGTGCTGTTTTAGATGACATTTATATCTATATACTGTATAATTTTTTGACGAAGCGGGTTCATATGAACCCTCTTTGACACCGTGTGGGTCCGCCCCTGATCTGATGTATGTAGTGGCTGATTTGGCCACTGGTTGAATCTATTGCTTTTGATTTGAACGGTGTATATATATGCAAATAATTCAAGAACAGTATCTGTGAATTGTGAACATTAACGATTCACTCATTGTAAATAGCTTGAATCTACTGTGATTGTGCAGGTTGAGAAGTGGTCATCATGCATTTGCAATAGCTATTTGGAACGTCAACAACAACAACAACCACCCAGTATAATCCCACTTAGTGGGGTCGGGAGAGGGTAGTGTGTACGCAGACCTTACCCCTACCCTGGGGTAGAGAGACTGTTTCCAAATAGACCCCGACATCCTTCCCTCCAAGAACTTCCCACCTTGCTCTTGGGGAGACTCGAACTCACAACCTTGCTATTTGGAACGTCAAAATTGTAGAAATCATATTTCTCAGCTGATGGCAAGGCTGCCCTTTCCAGCAAGTTAAGAGACTTGTTACACTGATACCGTACGTGTGTGTAAAGCAAAAGTGAATCCAGAATTTAAACTTCACGGGTTAAAAACTCATAGTATTTTTGAAATTATGGGTTCATGTCTATTATTTTTCATACTTTTAGTGGAGTTTTTACACATAAATTTATGTTCTGTGTAAAAAGTACTGGTTTTGTCTGAACCTAGTAACTCAACACTGCATCCACCCCTATATATAAGTTCTATATAGAAGGCTGCTATCATGTATACATGTGTGTACCATTAGCAGGTGAATTCACATGTTTACCTCTGCGTATTATTATTTCATATATATGTAGCAGAGAACAGGAAACGTTACAACTTTGGTCAGTTCAGGCTATTAATACTTAAAAGTAAGATAATGGGCTCTGTAAGTCCATTATCTTACGATCGAACTAAATGGGAATAAACTGATTCAATAAATTGTTGCTATTTAAAGAAACATCATAACTGTTATTTACAAAAAAAAAAATTATCATCTCATTTTCGTTTCTACTTTATAAGTTAACAAGATACCTATCTTCTTTTCACCATCTGGCTTAGAACTGCATGATATTGAATGCTGTTAGCATGTTTGGCATGATTACCTGGATAGCTATATTCAGTGTGCTGCTCCATGGTCTTCATTTGTTTTTCCTTTAGTCTTGTTTAACTTGCTGGCTGGAAAGTGCAACCGTGCCATCAGTGGTCGAGGTGCTCGTGTCTTCTGATCAAATCCCCGCACACAGACAAACCCTGGAAAAATACAATAGCTATTCATCAGAAAAGCAAAAATGTTTTGCAGCAGGGTACACCAACTTGTTCCTGTTAGTTTCTGAACTGATTACTACCATTTATTCATAGCTAAATTTACCATTTATCCAATGCTGTGGAAGGCAATCATGAAACAGGTCCTAGGTCTTCTGATACTTCTATATCGTTTTAAATTTTGATTATGGAATGTTTTTTTTAAAAACATGGTATGTTAAATTTTAAACAGACTAGAATGTGATCCATTTTATCTATTTGTTTTACAGTATTCCATCTCGACATAAAGCTAGTTTAAAACACGTGTCTTTCAGGGTTTCACTTTGTTGAAACAGATAAGAAGCTAATCACTGCTAAAACTGAAAGATTTTCCATCTACATACCTCTCCAAAAGCAGTGTTGGATACTTTCTGTGGTTAATCCTGATGAACATGAGAGATTTCAATGTTAGTTTTAATCCCAAAACTTTCTAAATGAGGTTTCATCAGTTTAGTGATTTTTTCACCTTTGAATATCGTCGGTATTGAGGTTCCAAAGTAGACAGTCCGCCGTGGGAGATTCCACAGCCAATCCCTTGGGACATTAATTGGGTTGAGGCTGGAGTCATGGTCTGCGAACACCTGCAAAAATAATTTGTACACTGAAAACCTCAATATTTGACATAGAAGCTGTCTTTGACGTGTGAAACCTGTACATGAGCTAAAAGTTGGTTATATTCACCTCATTGACCTGAAAATAGGTACCATTGAGTGGAAAGCTTCCTCTCATAGCTGTTCTACATGGTATCTATTGACAAGAATAACAATTAACACAAACTGAGTGTATCTCTTAGGTCATTTACTCGTATAAACATGACCATTGTTATAGTCTATGGGTTTTCTTACCAGAAGAGTCCCTCTTACTGTCTGAGAATGTGCTTCACGTATGCTGTTGCATGAGGAACATGTCTCATTTTCACACAGTTTGCCAGATTCTTGAGAGTTGCACTGTGTTTCTGGAGGTTGAAAAGAATTTGCTGTTTCACCTGATATGAATTTGATACAAGCGGTAAATCAGTTGGTGCTGAAAGGGGGATATGAAAGTTAAACTGATTTTACCTACAACTCAGACTAACCCATGAGATTTGTACCCTAGAGTTACCAAAGTGATAGGCTATGTCAATAGTTCCCTAAGCATGACTTAGCTAATTCATCTATTTTCCACATTACAAGAATATTGTGACAGGATGCCTTCCAAAAATCTCTTTCATATATAGCATTACAGTTCTTGTTATCCTACCCGGTGTCCAAATAGCAAGAAGATAGGAGCAAGGATCATCTGGTTCTCTTTTGTCCAACTGCAAAATGAAAAATGTAATTATTTGGAGGATTAATTTCTATATCTGCTTGGCTGCTGGTTACATGTTGGACATAAAACTACTGTGGAATCACTAACCCCTTCCAAAAGTGGATGAGAATCTGGAAGTTCATATCTGTAGGAGGAAAAACAATTGAGTGAGTACAAGAAGTTCTTCAAACATTGTATTACCTTGAAAAGAACAGTCTGTTCTTGTCTGTTGAGTCAGTGCTTTTTTTTGGCAGCATAATTCTATTGTTATGATGTAGGATCAGGATTATTTACTTACACTTGATGTTCAGTTCTCAGCCTGCTGACATTCTTAAGTTTAGGCACGGGAATTGATGCAGCTTCTGAAGTTAAGGCTACTAAGGCATTCGACATTTCTACCTGATGAAGCTCCATATTGTTTTCGACATACTTCTTTAAATTTTGAGTGAACTCTGCCATATTCACTTCAATTGTAGGAATTTCACAAGGATCTTCATAGTAAGTGTCCTCTATGTCAATTTCTGGTGCTTGTATTTGCTCTTGCTCAGGTGTGGCAGGAAGTTCAACAATGGGCTCTGGTGTTGCTGGCACTTCAATAATAGGAGCTGAGTTGATCAACTTCTGATGCTCCACTGGTTGTTGATTACCCGGAGGTAATGGCAGAGGCAGGTGAGTGAATTTTTCCCTTGGATTGTTGTTAGAGGCTTTGTTTTCTGTTGCAGACACAATGCTTTTTTCTTCCTGCGCGGGAAGGGCAAGCCTCGCACTGAATGGTGCATTATCATTAGATCCAGTTTATGAAATACAATGTACTTCATCAAAGAAATACAATGTTTCTGAATCTTTAAACAGATAAAATAGCCGTTCAAGTCTTGTAGTCTCAGTTAATGTGCTTGCAGTATGGATATGACCAATAAGAGAGTTCTATTAGCTATCTTAGAAATAAGTACATCTAAAAAATTTAGCATGAAATTGCTTCATCAGTGACTGGAGTTTTCTTATCCAGAATGCCTCATGGTTGTATTTTATATATTGGTGGGTTAGCCTGAAACAGGCTAGTGGTTCACTGACGTATAGTAGATTTTGCATACCTAAAACATAGTGGAACTATGATCCTTTAGGTTTGAGTGGAATAGTTAATGTAGTAGAAACAAGATAGTTGGACACACAAGACAGAAGTATTTTAGCTGCAGAAACAGTAATAAGCTAACCTTGCAAAGGCACTTGCAAAGTGTCTGCATTCTCCTCTCAGTGGACATGCGTTGCAATTGGGTTTGCTTTTTGTACAGAAGACCTATATGAGTTGGCTTTAGCCTTTGATTGCAAATATCTACTAGTTTTAGGAGATATCATCTAATAGCATTGACATACCTTTCCGAAGGTGATCATATGGTAATGTAGCTCATATCTGTAATTAAGATCTTAAATAAATGATCTGTTACTTGTTGGAAGAAAACAAAAATAGTTTCTAAGCTATCTAAATATAAGTGCACATGCATTGCATATGAGTCCCTCGACCAAACTCTGAATCAACCATGCTACTATTTTCTTCACTTTATTAAAGTAGACAAATACTTCTATCATTTGATTTACCAGAAGATTGACATTGGAATACTTACATTTAGTTACAACTTAGGGCTCGATATCTGTGAGTGGTCAAATTATGACACTACAATTGCGAAGGACACCCATACATACATACATACATACATACATACATACATACATACATACATACATACATACATATATGTCTGTGGATGCTACTTACAATGTTCTTTGATCAAGCTTGCAGAGACGTGGCCATAGGTACTTTTGGATTGACTCCAGTATTGGGTACCTGTAGGAATACCACAGAGTTAGCCTTGCACCATGTATGCAATTGGAGATATTTTAGAGTCAGGAGTACTCACAGCTCAAGAAGATGCAATTGTAGTGACTCGGGCAACGGCTGCAGGGGCACCCACCCTAGCCTAACAGCAATACGCCCTACATTTGTGTCAACCTTATTACAGATACACAGTCATTAGTGTGATTGAACTATTTCTCATATATTAGCTCTTCCAAAATTGGTTCTAGATCTTACTGGGAAAGCTAGGTGGTGAAGTGTTAAAAGTCTCACACACTCCACGCTCTTCAGACCCAAGCCCCTTATGCTCAATAGATACTCTCTGAAACCATACATTTGAATTGTGTTAAAGTTTGTAGATGACTACTATTTTAAAGGTGAGAGATTATTTGGAACAATTGCTAGCTTACTTTGCTTTGTCTGGTGGAACATCTCTCAGCCATTCAAGATCAATGCTTCCATGTTCACTAACAATCCGGTTAAGAAAATTCTGCAATAGTAAGTTTAATATCATTGAGCAATCACTTGGGATTCCAGGCCAAATAATTACTGTATATGTATATGTTCTCTTGTCCTCAGATATTGCAAAAAGGAAATACACATGTATGTACCTTGATCCTCTCTGCCAGCTTGTTGTTCATTCCTCGTTCTTTAATTGTGTGGGCTATCTCATTGACATTTGCGCACCTCACTGCTTCCCAGTCCAGTGAATCCATTGTGTTCGCTGTCCTTTCTCTTTTCTTGCCGTTGGCCTGGGCCTCTAACCGTAAGCTGTCCCAATCAATGTTCTCTTTCTCCTTCCCGAGCTGTCCCTTTTTTGCTTTAGAAGGATTTTCATTTACACTGTCTACTTTGCTACAAGCATGATCACTGACATTTTTCAAGTTTGACTCCACAGCTCTTTGCTCATACTTACATGAATCAAAAACTATGCTGGCTCTTTCTGTGACTTCTATATTGGTTTCTGAAGAGGTTGGTGCTTCTGGAACTTGGGGTACATTGCAATTTCTATCTTCAGTTTGAAACTGTAGTTCGACATTGACTTCTGCATTATTAACTGTCTCTGTGTCCAACTTATTTTGAGGGTTATTGCATGAGATATAAGTTTCACTCCTCAGTGTTGTGTACCGTTCTGGATGTGCACATTCTACCAATGATCCAGGTTGTTCGAGGGCACTACGTTCCTTGCGAAGGACTGGGAAGTTTCCACCTTCTTGTAAGTATTCAGTGCACGTGGTTCCTCGTGCTCCTGAAGTTCCTGCCATCTGTAATAGCTTCAAAAAAGAAGTGGAGCTGCAAAAGCTGCTTGTGTCAGTTCTTTCTGAAGTTTGAACAACCGCAGAGTTCTCAGAAGAAACTACAGAACTCGGAGAAGAAGGCAAATCATTCAATTCTTTTTTATCTCTGAAACCCATAAGTGTTGATTCATGATACAGATCTGAACCTTCTCTAGAAGAATCTGATTGCAGAATTACTGAATGTTCTGCTGACTTTATGCAATCTGTGCTATTTTCACTTGATTCAGAGCTGTTGACAGCTGTTTTTTCTTCATTTGAATCTGTATTATAGACTCTCCAGGAATCCTGACATCGACTTGACTGATTTGCTTGATCTTCATGCCATCTGATAGAAACAATGGGATCTGTTGCACACACTTCAGGTTCTTCAATTATGACAGCTGTTCTCCCTTCATGCTTCTGAGTACTGCTCTTTGTCTTCAGAGGAAAGTGAGCAGCGAGTGACATGAATGCAGAACTGTAAAGTGGACAAAGTAAGTATTTTGGGGAAAGGTGGACAAAGTAATATGTTGTACTCCATCTTTGAACTTTAGAAATTTGCTGGAGGACAGAAAAAAACCCAAAAATTACAGAATTTTATTGTTTCAGCTACCTGGAAAGGTGATCTGAAACATTCTGTGTAAGAAATACTCCAACTACAGAGTCCACAACAGATCCCTTCCAAGGTGAGAAGCGCCTGTCTCCTGACTCACCCAGAAAAACAAAAAGAAAAAGATAAATAATAGTTATGGTTATTACAATGGATAAAAACATGTGACTGACATCTTTTTTCTTTAATATGGTGTTTAAGATTGATAATAGGTGTACAAGGTCAGCATTTAGTTTCTGCCTCACTGTTCAATAGTTTCTATGACCACATGATGAGTCGCAGATTGAAGATATTAGCATGGCTGTTTGCTGATTGGATGTGATGTTTATGGATGCAGTGTCATTACAGAAAGAAGATATTCTCGTAGGACTGATCTCTTCATCCTTAACCTACTTCCTTTTTAGCGCATACACGTGTTGATATGCATGTCAGGTTGGATTCTGGTTTCATGCTTGAGCTGTTGCAAGTGCATGCGTTTTGTAAGTTTGAATTAGTTCTGAGTTCACTTAGCTGGTGTCAAAGTTGGTATGTGGTGAAATTCTGTAAAGTATTAGATCCATATTCTCTATCCTCATTTTTTTTTNATTTCCATGTTGACCTTGAATTTGGCTGCTTTCTCTGTTTAAATCAAGACGCTGCAAGTGTTCTGCAATTTCATCAATTGGAGACATGCCTCTCCATGTTAAAGCTGGTGGGGGACCTGCATTCAATGTTAGTTAGCAACTAAGGAGTTATGATGTAATTGATTGTCTTAAGAATATGCCTTTTAAGTACCCCTTGCATTTGCTGTGAATTGTTGATGGATGTACATGCTGGAAGCTGTTGAGCTGACAAAGGTGCTTTTCTTTGATTGCTTTTTTGTCTTCATTGGTGCTCGGGTGTCCGCAGTTGGAGCTTCCATGCATGCATTGGATAGATGTGAAGTCTTGTATCTTTCTCCAAGTCTGCATTTTGTTGCGTATTTGGATGTAGAAGTCTGAAATTGTTTGTAAATTTCATGCACAGATGCTAACTCATGCACTTGAGTTGCGCCTTTTGATCTCCCCTTCCTTAACTTCCCTGCTTCCACAACTGCTGGCACAAAATCGGAGTTCTGCAGTCTGTTGTAGGCTATATTGGTTGAAGAATTGTTGCTAGGGGAACCACTGATATTGCACCGCGATGAAGGCACATGGTTAATTTCGCTAGTAAAATGCTTAATGTAAGATGCTGCTGAGCTGTGGCCCTCTTCTGTTCTCTTTTTCTTGTAAGTTGCAGGACAATGCATCCCTAGGTTACTATAAACTTCAGGTTCATTTGCTGGAAGGATTGCTTGATAAGCCTGCATGGAATTGAAATACACTCCTCTGGCATTTAAGCTGTAGAATTGTGCTTCATTAGTTCTATACGAATGCTGTCTCTTCAAGCCTTTCCCATGTGGCAAGCATGTGCTGCTGCTACAGTTGGAACAATTCAGGCTCTGTGGTGTCATTTGTAGTATGCTTGCCTGTTTGTCACGAGTTAAATCTGAAAAATTGATTCTATAATTTCCTCTTGTGCTTTCATTTTGATTACCAACCATGACTTCATCATGATTCCAGCCAACCTTGTCCAGAGACGGAGAACCAAGGTACTGCACTTCATGCTGTGACAAGTAATTTCTCAGCTCCTGGTTCAGGGAACATTTGATGTTATAAGTTGTTCCCACTCCTGTCTTTTCATGGGGGGCTTCCATACCTTGTCCAAGTTGTGCAGACTGTACACATTGTGCAGTTGATTCGGTTTGATTTGCATGCAAATCCAAAGTTGAGGGCCTGTATGATGAGTTTTCATCACTTGCTTGTCTTTCAAATTCAAAATTCAACGTTTTCCTGCAGGATTTTCTAGGAGGAGAAACTTTTTTCTGATCAGTTGTTCCACTGCTCCCCTCTTCAGAGGGTTGTTCTGTGCTCTTCTTAACTTGATTTCTTCTGACGTACTTCCTCTTTGCTGGTGGGGTTTCTTTGGAACTAGGAGTCTTTCCATTGTCAATTGTATTGTGTACCTCTTCAGCAGAAGTGGGTGCAGGGCTGCCAACCTTGTTTCTTCGGACATACTTCCTCTTTTCTGTTTTTGTCTCCACTGAACCAGGCTGCTTTTCGGTTCTTGGTTTAGGAGTCCTTTTAGGCTTGCCTTCTACAACCACCTTGGGCCTGTGTTTTCTTCTTCTTGGTTTTTGCTCTGGTGTATTATTCAGTTCACTATCCTGTTTGCCTTCCATGTCAAGCTTGTGATTCTCCTGCAATTCTGATTGATTTAAGACCAGCTCCGACTGCTCTCTGCTCTGTTGGAGTTCATTTGCTTCAGCTCTCTTTATTGTATCTTCATATGACTGTACACCTCTTGGTAATGTAGTAACATTAATGTCTAGGTTTGACGCATTAGATGCTTGCCCTTTACTCTTGATCAGATCTGGTGTTACTGGTTCGAACTGGAATGCGATGTTGCTCGAGATTGCATCCGTCATTCTTAGGGGTGAATTCAAGTTGAAAGGGGAGCTGGGAAAAGTAGAGCTTCCATCTGCATTATGGATCCTCTTAAGTCATGTTAGTTTATCAAGGAAATAATCCCAAAACATGAAGCAATAAATTTCTTTAGGTTGTGACATGTTAGCTAAACCATGATATTGTTTGATGCTTAGCCGAATTGTTTCCATGGAATGAAACCCAAACACAATATGTAGAAGCAAGTGCTATTAATTATAGATAAAAATCAATAATTTGACTTGGAATGAGACCCTAATAGAAGAGCACTCAATTAGAGGAAAAACATAGTGTCATAAATCTTGTATGTAACCTTTTTGTTTCCGTTCTGATTTGTTATTCCAAATGCAACTTTAATGAGTACCCACAAGAATGCTAAACTCAATGCAAGCAAGTTCATGCATGCTTTAGTAGATGTAAGTTTCAATTTACCTGAGAACGTAATACTAAACTTGTTATATTTCATTCTCTAACGTTTTCAGGTCTTACCCGAGAACGTAATACTAAACTTGTTGTATTTCATTCTCTAACGTTTTTCAGGTCTTAGTATGCACGAAGATGCTGTTGTGTTAATGAGGCAGGTAAAAGACACTCTTGACAAATATATGGAATGCCGTTGTTGTAATCTGAAGATCCTCGAAGCAGTTGGGTCATTCCAATTACATGAGATACAGACGAATCAGTGAATACTTCATTTGTTTACCTGCACTCTGAGAACTGACGAGCGGTTTGAAATAACTCCTGGCACTATAAGCTGTATCATCTTTTGCATTTTCAGCTGCGGGCGTGGTGCCAGCAGCATGTGCCATCGCCAAGAGATCTCCGAAAGACACATTAGTCCACATGTCTACGTTATCACTAGAGAAGTTATTGCACATCTTTATACCACCTCCATACATTTCCGATTTTGTGCCTACTGCTGCTTCCCAGCTGGCGAAGCACTGATCTACTGTTACTGAACTTGTTGAACCATTGTAAGCAGATGCATTTTGAGCTTCGGCTGTGGCGTCAGCAGCATGTGCCACTGCTGCTTTTTTCATCTGCAACTCTGACCAATCAACCTGAGCTGGCTGGTTTTCCTGCCTACTCTTGCTAATTGGTGGCAATGTCGCAAACCCTGGCTTCCCTGGAGTCGCTGGAATCCATGAAGTGTTGGTCTGTAAATCCTTCATTTCTTCAATCGAGCTGCCTTGGCCTACATCCATTTTGCAGCTCTGGAAAACTGGTAAAAATCCAATCTTTTCTCCCCACATAAACAATTTTTTATGAGAAAACTCAACCTTGTCCAGGACTTAGAGAAGATTATTAATTCTTCAGTACCAATTTTATTTTATGAAATTATCCTGCAAAAGCAACAATCAAAGATGAAATGACTCACAAATTAACAAAAAAAGAAATAAGAGAATTTGCAGGAATAAGAGAAACAGAATACCAGAAACTCTACAAAAACAGAATTTATTAGATCTTCTATTCAGATTTGTGAAACTACATCAATTGGTTCCTTTTTAGCACAGATCCCTAAAGACAAGCAGAACTAGCTCTGCAATGGAGGTAGTGTGTGAAGACCAAACAAGAATGTAGATTTTAAACAAAATAAGAAATCTTATTTTTGTCAAATTTAAGAAATTAGTAGGAAAAAATAGATCTTGATCAGTGAAAATTGCAGCAAACTGACAGAACAATAAAATCTGCATACAATCTTTAAAATTCCCATTTTGTTCTGCAATTTCATTATTTCTAATTTAGAAAAAAAAATGCATATATAACTAGTCAAGAAGTGTAATTTGGATTTAGAAAGCTCAGTCAATTTTACTCACCTGGGAAATGGATAATTGACGGAGATCTCATGGAAGCAGAGTATACCATTAAAGAGGGTGAGGGAAAGTAGGAAAAAGACCAAACAGAAACGGCAAGGCATTATTCATAGACTCGAACAAAAGCGCTTTGAACCGATAATTTCTTTCTCGGTAAACTACAAAAAAAAAACCATTATTAATATATTTTTAGTGTTCTTTTAATTACTGTATGTGTTAATAACTCAGTGTGGCAGAAACATTTATAGGTAGGGGTTTAAAGTTAATGGTATATCTGCACTTAAACGATAAAAACGCCGTGAGTTGGCTAACCAAGAGTTGACCACGTGAGTGTAAGTACCAGGGGATAGGAGAGTGGTTTTGCTTGGCATGTATTTGTGGCTTTGTGCTATTAAGTGGGTTATATCGTTACGGTTTGGGATTTGACAGTTATACAATCAAACCTCTTTATAATAATAACACTTATTTATAAAAGTCAAATTTTTTTAGAACCAATTCTCATATTCTATTATAATATATATTTTTTATAACAACAATTCGCTATAGCATTTAAAAATATTCGGAACAAACGAAGCTATTATAAAAAATTTAACTATAATTGTTGCAGTTTAAATATTTTAACATATATGTATATGTGTTACTGAATTTGTTATTATTATTGTTGTATGTTATTGGTTAAATTATTAGAGTTAGTAATTAGGGAAGTGATAGTTATATTTACTGCAATTTTGAATATTTGGCATGCATATATATTACTACAAGTTAAATTATTAGAGTTAGTAATTATTAAGGAAATAACTTGTATAACTTTTTTCGAGTTATTAATTAGAAGTATGAATAGTAATTTCAACATCTGAGGCATTCAGTAAATTTTTTAATGAAGGCCCTCTTCATCTTCTTCTCTGAGATTTTCTTCTCGCATTTTTTTGTTCGGTAATTTTGTTTCTGCACCATGAATTTTTTCAAGAATAACTCGATATCTTTATTTTCTACAAAATGTTCTTTTATTTAAGCGAAGTTAGAGCTTCTGAATAAGAAGATAAAAAGAAGTTCAAGCTTGACATGAAGATGATTTGATCGAAGCAGGTTCAACAATTGATAATTCAATTTAAATTTTTTGACGTGTAATGATGGTATTAGTTAGAAAAGTAATTAGACACCTTGAACAACAACGATGATTTTCAGGAGTATATCTTCGCTAGCAAAACTATAAGAATTAGTAGTTGGAGAAGTTGACAATCATAACTATCATTTCCCTTATTTGTTTTAGCAATTTTAATTTCAAAGCTTGAGTCTTCTTTTTCAAGAGAAATTCTTAGTATTTAGTTTGAAAAGACAAAATATCCTAATAGACCTTTGTACTTGTTCACGTTTTCTTGTATTCAACGGTTAGTGAATATTTGTACTTATTCGAAACAAGTTTTTAAACACCTTTGAGTATTGACCGAGCTTATGCGGCATTGATATAATTTAATTGGATGAAATGTATAATATACATGCGTGTGAATTGATTTAAAAAGTATTAAAATTATAACCATGAATAAAATTAAAAAGAAAAAGGCCAAAAGAAGAGAGAAAGCAACCAATTCCATCTTCCTCTCAAAGCACCCTAAACCCAGTCCGCTGCTACTGTCTCCTGATTCTCTTCCTCCTAACCTTCATCACCACCACCTTTGCCGTTGTCGCCTCATTTTTCTCCTTCACCACCGTATTCATCATCTTCCTCCATTTTAAGATCAATTACAAAAAGAGGGATAAAAAATATCTGGTGTATTTCCAAATAAAGCAAATGAAGCTTGTGATTCTTGATAAAAATATTTTGCTACTTTTTGAATTGTTGGTTAGGAAGGAGGGAGAATTCATCATTGAGAGTGAGGAGTGAAAGTTCGGGTTTTGAAGCAGTTGTTTCGCATCGAACAAGATGATGAATGAGAAGGCGGCAACGCCTACTATAAATTTTTGGGTTAAAAATTTGTAGTAATAGTGGAAGAATATGAACAGACGATGACATATTGGTTGGTCGTTGAAGGAAAAGAGAGGATGGTTTTGGTGCTTTATAATGGAGTTAAAGGTGGAAATCTAAGTTATGTGGTAGAAAGTTAAGGAAGTAGTGCAATGGAGATAGAAAGAGAGGAAGAAAAGATGTCGTTGTAGAAGGGACGACGGCTCTAGTGGATTTTTATGGTGCTTTCCAATGACTCCAGGTGGTTTTTGAAGTGAGATAAACAAGAATAGTGAGGAGCGTAGTCTGGTAAGTGAGGATCTACATCTGGGAGATAGTGGCAAAATGGTGGTGCTAACGGTGTGAAGATGAAAATAAGCCTAAAAAAATTATGTGTTTAAATGGTGGAGGGAAGGTAATAGAGATTATTGCTAGCTGTGGCAGATGGAGATGGGTGGCAGATGGAGATGGGTGGCAGAGCAATGTTAGTGAAATTTGCTAGAGATGGGTGAATTTGAGTTTTTATTTCTGTACAAAAAAATGGCATATTTTATTTGACGTGGATATCAACATCAGGGCGTTTGAGAGACACGCAAGGTCTGATGGTTTAAAGTAATGTGTTTCAACAACTAAAAATATCCAAATGAAACTTCGAGGACTAGAGATAACAAACACAACAAGTACATGCTTTTATCAGGACATCCTATCGGTTGAAAATATTTCGAAGAGCCGTTTGGCCATAAAAGTTTTTTTACTTTTTTTCTGAATCAGTGTTTGGCCATAAAAATTTCATTCACTTGTAAATTTCGAAAATTTGAAAACTCCAAAAAATTATTTTCAAAATTTTTACTTCACATCACTCATAAAAATTCGAAAACAACTCCAAATTGTATTCATATCCAAATATAACTCTAATTTTCCAATACCATTTTTACTTGAAAAAAAATCACCTTTTCTCGGAATTTCACAATTCTTATGTCCAACGCCTACTAAAAGTTTGTTATTATGTTTTTTTAAAAATACTGTGTTCTGTTTGTTTGAGGATGTTGAGATGGATGTGCGGGCACACAATGCTGGATAGGATTAGGAATGAAGTTATTTGGGAAAAGGTGGGTGTGGCTCTCTTGGACGTCAAAATGAGGGAAGCGAGGTTCAAATGGTTTGGGAACGTGCGGAGGAGAAGCCTTGATGTCCCGGTTAGGAGGTGTAAGCGGTTGGCTTTAGCATGCGTAAGAAGAGGTAGAGGGCGGCCTAAGAAGTATTTGGACAATGTGATCAGGCAGGACATGACGAGACTTCATATCTCCGAGGACATGGCTCTTGATAGGAAGGTGTGGAGGTCGAGCATTAGGGTTGAAGGGTAGGGGTAGTCGAGCGTTTTTCTTCTTTATTTCGGGGGTGGGGCTAGTCTGATACTGTTTTGTCTTAGACTGCTAGTGGCGTATGCTGTGTTCACATTACTTTCCCATTTTCATATTATTGTGTAACTAGTAATGATTTTTGTTATTGCCTTTCCACATATTCTCCGTCTCTTACATTGTTGATATTATATTATCTCTCTGGTTGCTGCTGCTGGTAAGGAATTATTATCTCTGTTCGCCTTTTGGGTCGAGGGTCTCCCGGAAACAGCCTCTCTACTATTTCGGGGTAGGGATAAGGTCTGCGTACACTATACCCTCCCCAGACCCCATTTGGTGGGATTTTACTGGGTGATTGTTGTTGTTGTGTTCTGTTTGTTTAATGTTATATTTTTGAAATTACTCTCTCTGGTTGTTTTTACTTGTACACTATACTAAAAATATATTTTATTTTTACTTGTCTATTTTAGCAAATTAAAAGAAAGACAATTTTTTTTCTTTACTTTATTATTAATTATTCATTTTTAATTTTTTTTTGAATACTATTATTATTAGGGGTTATATGGTAAAATAAATAATATAATAATTATTTTTTAAGGATTGTGAAAAGTTCAGAGTGGATAAGTAAAAGTGAAAGGTTAGAGTACTTTTTTTAAACATACTTTCGAAACACATCATTTGATAATCTGCATAAACTCAAAGACTACTTTTAAACATCACTTTGTAATTGTTTGTTGCAAATTCAGTTTCTAGAAGTTTTCAACAAAAATTGAGAGGCATTAGTTTTTTGGTCTTTTCTGTTGCATAATTCACGGCACCGTTAATGACTCCGTTGGTGGTCTTTTTGGTGTTAAGTTTCTATGAAATCTTATCAGATGACGGTGAAGGTTATAATTTACGGTATTACTTTAATTTTGGGCGTATAGACAACCGGTTCTTTTGGTAATTTGGTGGCAGTTAGTGATAGTATTTTATTGGTTGATAATTTTAAAATTAAGTTTGAAAATGATAGTATAATCGTTATTGTTGTTATTGTTATTCTAATTGTCGTATCAATCATTATCATTTTGGTGTGCTGCAACCAAAAGAGATATTTTGTCTTATAACATTCTAAAATTAGCTTATATTGATTTTTTTTTTTAATAATACTTTTTAAAAATATACTTTTGGAGAGAAACAGTTTGTGTTTGGTTAAGTAATTTGAAAAATATTTTTGAGCAGTAATCATTATTTGACTAAACTTTTAAAAAGTACTTTTAAATATATTTTTCTTAAAAGTGTTTTTGAGAATAAACTGCTCCCTCTATTCACTTTTAGTTGTCAAGTATTCTAAAAATAATTTTTTATTTTAACTTATCACTTTTCGTATATCAAGAGAAAAATAATTTGTTTTTCCTGTTTTACCCTTAGCATTAATTACTCATTTCAAATCATTTTCCAAATTCATTAAGACTATACACCAATTAATATGGTAGCATGCTAAATTATACACTTTATTTATTATTTTTTAAGGGGCGTGAAAAGTCCAAAGTGACAATTAAAAGTGAACCTAGGGAGTATTTTTTTCGGCTTCTCAAAAACTGCTTATACTTCTACTTAAAAGTACTTTTTTCACTTCTAAAAATTTGGCCAAACATCTTAGCTTTGCGAAAAAATACTTTTGGCTCAAAAAAACCTTGGACAAATAAACTATATAATTTGAATCAAAGTGATATGAAGGTCTTGAACAACTTGTATATTATCCCATTCTCTTTAAATTTTTGTTTAGAACCCAAACACACGTTTTTATGTGAAAGACCAAAGATGTGCCTAACGTGCACGAATAAAAAAGTTACTAATATCTTCAAAGACTTTTGACCTTAAAGAAGACGACAACCACGTTAGACAATTTATAA